CTAGTCCTCACTTGTAACTTCATTTTCAATTATTTATACGTTTTCCAAAATTTTCTAAAACGTCTTTAATGAGAGAGAAAGGCACCCCAACACGGTTCTCATGCTGTGACCTAGCCCGTCTCAGCTGGCTGCTTGTGGGCATGCACGCATGACCCCGTGTGCTCAGGGACCCAGGGCTTTTCCCACGTAGGTGCGGCTGTGTGACCACCGCACCGCCCCCTGGACCGTCAGTTGTTCTTTTAAGAAGTCCTATTTGGCTCTTTTTAAATACCTCCCTGATGTTTCTTTTTTAAAATGTGGACAGGTTCTATGTTGCGATCCTGCCTCAGCCTCCCAAGTTCCCGGCAGTCCAGGTGCGTAGTATCACACCTGACAGTGAGGCTGAGCTGAGAATCGAACCAGCCCTCCTGTGTGGCCTCTGCCTGCCAGGCAGCCACAGTCAACTGGCATGTGTTTTCAGGCTGGGCCTGCTTGATGCATTTATTAATACTTTTTCTTCCTTAATTCTCTATTTCTTGATTTAAAATACTTAGCGTCTGTGTGGCATCAATATAGCCATAGGCTCTTATTCCCCTAAGGCTTTATTCGGAGTCTCCCCTGATGCCTTGCTCTGTGCACTGTGTGATCTTGACTCTTCGGTACACACTCCATGAGCTCTGTACGTGGGACTTCCTGGAGGTCCAGGCTGAAGGTGAGCTCTTCCAGAGCAGACCTGGGGTTGTCTCCATCAGTGCCCTAGAGGCCCTATCCATGTGGTACCACTTTAAACTAAAATTTTGGCTTGAGGAGTTGTCTTTTTATGATCATCAATATACGTAAGAATTTAAGCTGCACCTCGAGTGTGAACTAACTTGGAGGTATGAGTTGTCAGGAGAGTACATACAGGAGGTGATTTAAACGTTTGTATAAAATGAAATTAAAGTAAGAATTTATTACTGTGCAAAAAAAAAAAAATTGAAATCTATGCATAGTTTTTTCATCATCTGCCTTGCTTTTGTTTTTATTGCCAGGGAGTATGTGTGCTAGCCAGAAAGAGACAGAGACAGAGACAGACAGACAGACAGCCCTCCGCAGAGGGGCATGGTCATGCTGCAATCCCTTCTCCATGTCTCCATCTTGTTGGGACTCTGGGTATACTCGCACATGCCCTGTGTTCTTCAAGCCCCTGGGAGCGGGGATGTGAGCCTCCTGGTTGGCCACATGGGATCCAGTTCCCTAACCATTGGGCCACAGGGCCAGCTATAATACGAATTTTTAGTGAACTGTTTGAAGACCCTCTTGTGTACACTCTCTCTTCTCTTATATTTTACCTCTCAATCCAGAAGTAGAGTTCAAGGCAAGAACTTTTCCTCAGGGCCTCACCAGAGAATGGGTCTCAGCCTCACCTATGTGTGTGTGTGTGTGTGTGTGTGTGTGTGTGTGTGTGTATGTCTCTCCCTAACTTGACACAATTATGGACTTGTTCTCTGAGCCCCTGAAGCAATAAAAACTAAAGCTGTCTTTAACCTCCAGATTCCAATGTTCACTTATGTTTTTTAGGCTCTGGGCAATTCTTCTTTGTAAACCATTTTTAATCCAATATTTTGAATACTTTCTAATAGAAGGTTATATCCCGAACGGAGACTCACCTTGTTCGACTCCACAGGATGTGTAAGCAACACTAGTCCTCACTTGTAACTTCATTTTCAATTATTTATACGTTTTCCAAAATTTTCTAAAACGTCTTTAATGAGAGAGAAAGGCACCCCAACACGGTTCTCATGCTGTGACCTAGCCCGTCTCAGCTGGCTGCTTGTGGGCATGCACGCATGACCCCGTGTGCTCAGGGACCCAGGGCTTTTCCCACGTAGGTGCGGCTGTGTGACCACCGCACCGCCCCCTGGACCGTCAGTTGTTCTTTTAAGAAGTCCTATTTGGCTCTTTTTAAATACCTCCCTGATGTTTCTTTTTTAAAATGTGGACAGGATCTATGTTGCGATCCTGCCTCAGCCTCCCAAGTTCCCGGCAGTCCAGGTGCGTAGTATCACACCTGACAGTGAGGCTGAGCTGAGAATCGAACCAGCCCTCCTGTGTGGCCTCTGCCTGCCAGGCAGCCACAGTCAACTGGCATGTGTTTTCAGGCTGGGCCTGCTTGATGCATTTATTAATACTTTTTCTTCCTTAATTCTCTATTTCTTGATTTAAAATACTTAGCGTCTGTGTGGCATCAATATAGCCATAGGCTCTTATTCCCCTAAGGCTTTATTCGGAGTCTCCCCTGATGCCTTGCTCTGTGCACTGTGTGATCTTGACTCTTCGGTACACACTCCATGAGCTCTGTACGTGGGACTTCCTGGAGGTCCAGGCTGAAGGTGAGCTCTTCCAGAGCAGACCTGGGGTTGTCTCCATCAGTGCCCTAGAGGCCCTATCCATGTGGTACCACTTTAAACTAAAATTTTGGCTTGAGGAGTTGTCTTTTTATGATCATCAATATACGTAAGAATTTAAGCTGCACCTCGAGTGTGAACTAACTTGGAGGTATGAGTTGTCAGGAGAGTACATACAGGAGGTGATTTAAACGTTTGTATAAAATGAAATTAAAGTAAGAATTTATTACTGTGCAAAAAAAAAAATTGAAATCTATGCATAGTTTTTTCATCATCTGCCTTGCTTTTGTTTTTATTGCCAGGGAGTATGTGTGCTAGCCAGAAAGAGACAGAGACAGAGACAGACAGACAGACAGCCCTCCGCAGAGGGGCATGGTCATGCTGCAATCCCTTCTCCATGTCTCCATCTTGTTGGGACTCTGGGTATACTCGCACATGCCCTGTGTTCTTCAAGCCCCTGGGAGCGGGGATGTGAGCCTCCTGGTTGGCCACATGGGATCCAGTTCCCTAACCATTGGGCCACAGGGCCAGCTATAATACGAATTTTTAGTGAACTGTTTGAAGACCCTCTTGTGTACACTCTCTCTTCTCTTATATTTTACCTCTCAATCCAGAAGTAGAGTTCAAGGCAAGAACTTTTCCTCAGGGCCTCACCAGAGAATGGGTCTCAGCCTCACCTATGTGTATGTGTGTGGTGTGTGTGTGTGTGTCTCCCTAACTTGACACAATTATGGACTTGTTCTCTGAGCCCCTGAAGCAATAAAAACTAAAGCTGTCTTTAACCTCCAGATTCCAATGTTCACTTATGTTTTTTAGGCTCTGGGCAATTCTTCTTTGTAAACCATTTTTAATCCAATATTTTGAATACTTTCTAATAGAAGGTTATAACTCACACCATAAGGCTGTGCAGATTTATAGAACCAACGATTTTCTCTAAAGTGAACTGAAATAAAACTTGTAGAAAAAAATCACTGTGTGCAAGTCAGACTTTATTGCTTATGAGTTATGCCATTCCACACCACTTTAAGGAAACAGACTTTGGGAAAATAGACTGGGGTGTTCAACCAGTGATGGCGACATCAGTGAGGGTGTTCAAGTGTTCCACATAAAGTAATAAGAGGCACCATTGCCACCAACACCCCCAGAAATTTGTGCATTTCATATAAAAAGAGTAAAAATAGTTCATTGGCATTTAACTAGCATTATTCCTTGTGATCTACAATCCCCGATAAGCTTGAATCATTTCAGAAGCTTCAGAGCAAAACAGCATTTTCTTCCACTAGCAGATGTTGCTTCAAAAAAAATAAGCGAATCAACACAACAATAAAAGCTGCACATACACAACCCCAGCACAAACACTGGCATGTTCTAGTGGTCCTGGTTTTTCATGGTTTGCTCTGTATTAACTCAAACATAGTTCTGGCTGTTTGTGATTCAGCTTTTAGAAATAAGAGTCAACTCCTTCCCTCTAATTATCCTGACATTATAATTCAAACGATTTAATGTAAGCCAACATTAGCCCAGGAAAAACCATGGCTGTAACTCAGACTGCTCACATGCTAACGTTAACTTTTTTTTTTTTTTTTTTTTTTTAGCGAGGTTTTTGCTATAGTGCACCTGTGT